TTAAATGATGTCGCGAAAATCGCGAAGGGACTGATGTGCTGTCACAAAAATTGTGGAATTCAATGTAACCTTTCCGTCCCGGATTATTTTGCTGTCATCAATTTTGTTGTTCATTTGGCTCTCAATTTTTTACCGGTTCAATCCAAACACCCTGTAAATGATCGAGAAATAATCTCAATTCCATAAGTCACACGGGATTTACATGGAAATTCCATGAGGTCTGTCCAATGTGAGACATTTTCCTTTTTTTCCCAATATGAACTTAGCATTTTTCGTTGTCACATCATAAACGAATCGTATATATGCGAGTAATTGTCATGTATACCGGATTTTCTAGGTTCTCCAAATCGTCCTGGAGTTCAGTTGATTTGTTCTACTATATCAACCAAGACTCTAAACAGATTCAAAGTGTCTATGTGGATTGTACCCGACCTATTGCTACGTATACAAGATGTTATAGGTTCTGAAATCATTCTGGGGATCATATTATTTTTCTACTAGATCACCCAAGACTAATTAAATATCTTAAGTATCGAAATATGCCCAAACAAAATTGCAGTGTCTATGTGAATCATGCCAACCTATTTCTGTGTATGCCAAATGTTCTAGGATTTCCAAATCGGTATTTCGATACTACAGATATTATCCTAGTCTTTGTTGATCTAGTAAAACAAATCATCTGAACTGCAGGACGATTTGGAGAACCTAGAGCATCTGGTATACGTGGACATAATTAAACATTATCCATATAGACACTATGAATCTGTTTGGACATATTTCGATACTACAGACTTTATCCCAGTCATGGTTGATCTAGTAGAATAAATCATCTGAACTCCAGAACGATTTGGGAACTTAAAACATCTGGTATACATGACAATAGTTCATGCATGATCCACATAGGCACTGTGATTACTCGGAAATAGATTATGCATGATCCACATAGATACTTTTTTTGATACTACAGACATTATTGCAGTCTTGGTTGATCTAGTAGAACAAATCAACTGATGTCCTGGACGATTTGGAAAACCTATAATTTCCGGTATACATAGAATCTCATAATGTAAGAGTGTTTTATTATGTTAACTAATTACTCAGAATTTATACTATACATAAACAACTGAAGATGATGCATTGTTATTTTTTTCAAATGTTACATACGATACTCCTTAAGCACAGTCGGTAAAGGCGCAGCTACAAAGCTTGTTCATGCTGGAGGTGACTGAGTTCGATTCCCGTCCGGTCTATTAGTTTTTCGGGTTGCAAAATGTGTCTACTTTCTTTGGCATAGGATGGTACGGGCATAGAAAGTTCACGATTAAAATGTGAAAGTAGTTCAAAGAACACTAAGTTGAGCAGTTAATGGCAAAAATCTAATATGAAGCAATAAGCTTGAAATGCCATGTAGTAGTACACAAATGCTATTTTTAGGCAATGAAAACAGTTTTTTTTTTGTCGCGGATTAGCATTTGAAGTCGCGGATTTCTTTTGAGAAATCGCGGATTTCGCGGATCGAATTTAGAAAATCTTGTAACAGCCCTGCAATTGGGTTCTTTGGGTTATCATATGAAGAGCTTCATTTTCTGAGCACAATGATATTTTCATCGAGGCCATAGACTGTCATCTAGATTTTAAATCAAGATTTAAAGCATCCTCCATCATCGGTCTGTACACGTGACTGTTCATTAATTCGTGCCCACACCGAATCGATCTCACAGGTTATGGAAAATATGGCACCAGTCGACGAGGTTATTATTTTGGGCGATTTCAACCTTCCTGGGATATCGTGGCTGCCACAGTGGTTTTCTGTATCCCGATCCGCAACATTCCGTATTTCTTGCCGGAGCTACTTCTGTTGCACCTGTCCAATGAGTGAAAATCCTCCCGCATCATGGCCCTCTTGTTATTTCACTGGAAGAGAGACGATCGTGCACCATTGCTATTTCCCCGATCACAGTCTACTATGACTATCGGAACGCAGATCACCACGGTATTGGCGTTGACAGCACCGTCGAAAAATTTGCTCTTCCAGCAAATTTAGATAGTTTCTTATGGGAATTTTCGGTGGAGTGAAAGGATAGTACAAAGTCTGCCATGTTTCACGCACAGTCTGACGTTTGCTTATGGATTTTCTCATAGGAGTAAAGAGCTACAGAGTCGCCGTCAACGCCAATTGAAGATTTTCTCTCCGAGCTTGACTGGGTCAACATTCTCGATAGAAACTATGTCGAAGCAGCTGCCCAGTTGTTCTCTTACATTATGGCTTACGTCATTGACAGATACGTGCCGAAAAAAGTTAACCGAACTGAACACACCCTCCATGGCAATCCACTGAGCTACGACGATTGAAAACAGTGAAGCGTGCCGCCCTGAGGAAGTTCAACGTAGTATCCAACGCAAACTCAAGTATAAACCAAAGTCATGTTGGAAGTACGTTAACGAGCAACGCAAGGAACCTGGTATTCCGTCTTCGTTGGTCTATTTTCCGTCAAGTTCGCCAACGTATTCACAGATGAAAATTTATCTGATGAGTACGTCTCTAGTAACCTATTTACCATTACACGGACAGACATTTGCATGAATCGATGAAGATAACACGATGATCATCAAAGTAGCTCACCGGCTTAAGTCAGCCCACAATCCGGGGCCAGACGGAAGAACCATATCGAATGCTTGCTGTCAGCACTTCGTCATTTGTTCCAGCTGTCGTTATCTAGTGGGATCTTTCCATCGTGTTGAAAATATGCGCATATGTTCCCCGTGCCCAAAAAAGGCAGTAGGCACAATATCGATGACTACCGTGGCATCATTTCTCTGTGAGCTGTTTCGAAATTGTTTGAGTTGGTCGTAATTGAGCCTTTATTTGCTCATTGTAAACAGTATGATGACGATGACCAACATGGATTCGTACCCGGCCGTTCAACAACTACGAACTTGCGGTGTCTTACGACGCACATCACTACGAGCATGCCAGAACGGACTCAAACAGACGTTATTTATACTGATCTATCGGCAGCATTCGACAAGATTGACCATGGTATCACTATTGCAAAGCTACAGAGACTAGGAGTTAATGGCTCACTTCTGGGATAGTTCAACTCCTATCTAAACGACCGCTGGATGAATGTCACTATCGGCGTCTGCCAATCGGACGTTTTCAAGGCTACGTCAGGAATTCCAATTAATTACAATTATACTCTTTCGGAAGCGGAAATCGAACGCGTCAGTCATGTTAAGGATCTTGGAGTTATACTGGATACCCAACTTACCTTCAAGCAACATGTATCGTACATCGTTGATAAAGCATAGAATTTCACCGACGTATACTGTACTGTACTGCTCTTTAGTGCGCCCAATTCTAGAGTTCAGTTCTGCAGTGTGGAATCCAGTATACCTCAATGGCTCGAAAAGGATCCAATCTGTACAACGAAGGTTTGTAGGATTTGCCTTGCGTAGGCTACCTTGGCGTGATCCTTATCATCTGCCCAGTTACGAGAGCCGCTGCCAGCTTATCAATCTGGAGACCCTGCGGTCTAGACGAAACGTATCCAAAGCCTTGTTCGTAGCAGACATTCTTCAGAACAGAATCGATTGCCCCCGCCGTTCTGTAGGATATCGCCATAAATATCCAGCCCAGAGCCCTACGGAACAATCATATGCTGCGCTTACCTCTACGCCGGACAAATTATGGGATGCGTACCGCTATCGATGGCATTCAAAGGACCTTCAATAGAGTCGCCTCGGTATTCGACTACGATATCCCCCGCTTTACGCTACGCCGCCGATTTACTGAGGTCTTTTCTGAAGCGACGAACAATTGAGGAAAACTCTAAAATCTTCTTTTATTAATATTATTATTATTATTATTATTATTAGTGTCCAGTGAGTGTTTATGTTTTTCTTTTACCACTTAACTTATGAATGTTAATCTTAAGTAAAACATCATTAAGACCAAAATGGTCTGTTGATGTGAACATCTATCTAAATAAATAAATAAAGCAACATAATAACTTCACTGTTTGACACTAATCTAACAAATTAACAGCTCGTCTCGTCTGGAGGCACTATGATGGTGATTGTTGCTAATGTAATCGCACTTATTTATAATAGTTCCAGTGCACGAAAACTGATGAAATTTTGAATTTCGGTTCCATATTTATTACAGATTACGAATATGCATTTACTTCAATACCCCTAAAGAACCCAATGAAACGAGGGTAAATTTTACGCGACAGCTAAAATTTAGGTTTTTTCTGTGTTTTCGTTTTTGCGGTGTTAATCAGGGTGTAGAAATCGGTTGCTCCTTTGTTTACAAACAAATTATGTTGAGCTGCGCCAATGACTTGCGCTTACATTGTTGGTGTAATACACGGCAAAAAAGAAATTTAAAGGAATTACTTATTTCCTACAACCCCCCGTCCCCCATAGAGCGTGACGTAATAAACATCCCAAAGTAACGCATTTTACAACAGAAATCGTAATGATATTTGACTACCACACATCCACTCGCTTGCAAATTCATGCTCATCTCCCATCCGACTAGTATGCCGTGCCTCTTGTTTCAATTGAACATCTGTCACACAAATGCCTAGACATAAACCCCTGCACGCTCACAATTCATTCCGTCACGTGAAAATGCTGCACTACTCTCGACTGCCGATATAAAGAATAGTCCGTATTTCACCCTATGTCGATGGGATCGCTCCTCATCGTACACATCTAAATCATAGTAGGTACGACTACATAGCATAGAGGGTACTCTCTTGCAAAGGCGTTCTGATGTTTGCACAAAATACCAAGGGGTAGCCAGATGGTAGAAATATGCTGCATTTCTTCTAGTTACCATCAGCAGGAATCGTCCATTGGCGTACCCTCCCCCTCCCGCCATCTGGGTGTAACAATGTATGCGTTGATGTTTAAATCAGAACTGGTGAAGAGAACCCATTCGACAATCTTCTCGCGCACTCAGCTCGATTCAATTCAGTATCGCAGTGAAACTTCCGCCGTACGGGTCGTGTGCGCGTTCGTCGCTAAGTAGTCGCGCTTTTATCTTCTTTTCCGTTTCCCAACGATTAGCCTACTTGATTTTCGTGATTCGTTGTCCCGTTTACTCATAAATTCGTGAAGAACAGCAAATCGTTATTAGTTGTGGCTTGCTTGGATTCGGTTATTCAATGCATTTCCTGCACCCATTCATTCATTGATCGAGTGAAGTACGTGAATTTTGCTCCGTCCATCGCAGCATCCACTTCGACGGAGCAATGTTGGAGCATGCGCGTGGTAGTTTCTATCTCCTGGGAGGAAAATGTGCTCTCTTGTGCCCCTAGAATGTCATCCACACCAACGATCAGAGTTTAGCAGAGCATCAGCAGTACCAACATCGACCAGCAGGCAGTGAATAATATGAAATATCTCGCACCGAACGGTCGCATCCAGTGTGCAAAGAAACAGTCGATGGGAAGCGGGAATTTGTGAACAGAAAAGTCAACAGTCGCGTTATGTATATTTATATTGTGGATAGTGAAGATTATAAATAATTTCGGATTATCGTGCCAAAAAGTGCGCGCCATTTGCGACGACCAGGGACGGCGTTAAGGATTAAAAGTGCATCAATGCATTCCTTACGGGGAAAATATTGTTGTGAGTGATTTCAAGCTGAACGAGCTCAAAGTTCCTGGTGTTCGGATCGACAAAGGAACGAAAATTCCGAACAGCTGCCAAGCGGAGGCGATTTGTGATGATGATGATGGTGATAAAGGAAGCTGCAAATGTAGCAATTTGTTTAAATTAGATAAATTTGTGCCTGAAAGAGCGTGATTTGGTGATTTGCTTACTGCGATGAAATAGGTACACACTAGAATGAGATTTGCCTTGAGGAGAAAAAGAAAAGGACACTGATCAAAACAAGAATGAGTCATCATCGGGACAACGAGCTTGGTGGATGATGTGCGAGGGAAATTCCAACTACCTACATTCATTGAGGAGGGGAAATTAAAAAAAAAAACGTACGCTTGAAGAAGCCGATAGCGGAAGTTATTTGTAACTTTCGTAGTAGGCACATAGAAGATAAATTTGCGGTAACCATGGTAGCCTTTCGAGACACGAATCGCGACGCCACCGATGACTGTCGGTAAATCTATACGGTCGACCGTGCCAAGGGGAAACTTGTGTTGTGAATGAAAACGGTGCCGTCACGCGGACGTTCGGATTCGGGTTCGGCTGTTTTCCTGTAAGGGTGAGAAGGAATTTCGGCGACCTATGAATACGTATGCGATTACGCGTTTACGCAGCAGGCGCTGCCACTGCGAATGACATTTGTTTTACTAGATTGAGAAGGTCAATTTTGCTGACCCGCTACATTACAAGACGCTTTGAATTTGTCTCGGTTTTATGCGAGTGTTTACATAAAAGTCACATTTTCCAAAGCATGATTAAATGCATACAAAGACTTCGAACACCCAAGTACCCGTAAAATCGATATTTATGCCATATTTACGGAGAGAAAAGCAAATCAAGATTGGAAAAACTATTTGAAGAAAACAATTTATGGATCCGTTTTCTATACACTAAGTTTTGTTTTTGCCGAGATTTGCACACCCGAGTGCTCGGCAATACATTTTACTAAGACTCAGCCAGATAACGTCACTTTTGTTAAGATTTCAGCAAAAGAAAGGTGGGCAAATCTCGGCAAAAATCGCCGAAATTCGGCAAACAAAATTACAGAACACTTGAAAACGCTAACTCGATAATGTTTTCCCTCATATGCCGATATGAGCTTCGATCATCTCCAAGTTGCAAGCTAGCTGATTTCATAGCAGATCTTCCCCACTTCCCTGGGGGCACCCGTAACAAGTACGTGTGAAGTTAATGCGGAGCTGGGTGCTCAATTTGGACGCTAATAATATTGTATACTCATGAGCGACTTAATGTGCCGCATGATGAGTTTGGGTAACTTTCTGGCTGGCGGTACCAGGGAAATGTTTGGGCATGGCAAATGCGTTCCTGGGTACTCATTGTGACTGAAGTTAATGATAGTGACCAGAATAAGAAAAATACGAAAAAGGTACTAGTAGGTGGATGAATCAGTTTTTTTTAACATGATGGTGAAATCAGAAGTTTTTGCTTTTTTAACAAGTACTGACTTCTCGAGATTAACACTTTTCTTAGTTCAAGGAATTTAGGCAGCCCACTTCAATTATTTCCTCTTGACTTACGTAAAATATAATAAATGTCGAACGAAATTGTCCAATGAACATAAATCCATATCCATTGATAACAATAATGATTATAACTTTGTCACATCAGCTGAGTCGGCATGTCGGGAAAAATCGCGGAAATTTTTATAATTTATTTTAATAAATACTAGTTTTTCAATAATTTTTATATTGGACGCATTAAAATTGACAAAAATCGTGTAACAACAAACTTTTGATCAAATGTTGAAAGTTTTTATTAATCAAACCCTGAGGGAGAGTCGCGAAGAGAGAAAAATGGAACGTCAAATGCAGCCAGACGGCTGCTGTCACGAACTGTCATTTGGAGCCAAGCAATTTTATGATGCTTTTCTTACAGTTGAACAAGAATACACAAGGCGGTATTGAAATCTTGCGTAAATTAATTTGTGACAAACTGTCGTTTCAATCTATTTTATTCAATGGGACACCGTTTCTTTTTAATTCATTCAAAATACACACAAATCAATATTGAAAGATACCATTAGCCAAGGGTTTGTCAAAACATCTAGTGGCATAGTAAAATACCAGCAGAAAAGTACAGTTTCTCACCACACGCTCAAAGCAAAACACGCTATTTTGCTACGCCTACGGCACAAATTTTCATGAAAAGAAGAACAAGTATACAATGAATTCCGTGTGTGCTATCTGCTTCTCCCTCTCAGATCAAAACCATACAGAAATCAGTAAAGGTTTTTAGATTCGTTTTCTGACCCAAAGTTTAAAAAAAAGCCAGGATTTATCAAGGGGTAATCAACTCTGCACACTGTGCCGAAGCATATCGTAGCACACCGATCGGCACGTTAGGGCACACGGTGACAAGTATGACACCGAATATAATACAAAACAGCATCACTGCTTTGTGTTGACATTTTGCCAAGCGTTGCTAATGTTTACTACTTTGTTTAGTTAAATGGTAACTTATTTGTTAATTTTCCAGCGATGTTGCCCCAAATCATAATAAAGAATGCACAATTGACGAGATTCTCCATGCCCATGGAATGGACCGCTAAAGAAAGTCTACATGATATTTGACGGATGTTCATAGTTTCGAAAAGATTTATGTTTTGGGGGAAACCCAAACAAATTAGTCAGAGTCCCCATGCCGCGCAGTATAGGTCTACTTACCCCAGATGGTCATAGGATCGGGACCGAATGCAAATTGTATAGGTAAAGAGAATTGCAGCATTGATGGTGTCAAACAGAACCCGGTTCTGCCATACTGTAGATGTTCCTGCAATCGCTAATTCTAAGGACTGAACCATCTCAAAGTTCTGATTGACTGTGGAGACTGGTGGAGTTAGTAGATCCCGTATTAGCAACAGGAAGAATGATTCAGCTTGCAGAATTGTGAAAGTATCCACACCGGAGGTAACGATGCCAATCGGAACCGCGGTATTAATAGACGCAATCGGAACCACCAGCAGTTTCAGGACTATAAATATGCAATTCCGGCAAGACCAAGCAAGGATGAAAAATATGAATGAATAACAAGCAGAGACAAAGCGGATCAAACGTTGACAACCGGTATCAAGATTCTGGACTATCATTTGGATGCTGTTGTATATTAGTCGATGGAAGATGTTGATGAACGAGTTAAAAGAACCGTGAGCAGCAGAGCACTCAATTAGTAGCTCAGTCAGCAAGTTTATTCTTCAGTGATGGAAAAATGCCTCAAATACATGCTGTGTGAGCAAAGGCAGCGGTGTGAGTCGCCTGTTCGTGAGTGAGTTACCGTTTGGTTCATACGGTCTGGATAGAGCAATGAATTGAATAGAGCAGTGCTTTCACATTCACCCTAAGCAGTCAACAATGTTACGCTCTAATTAGGGTGTTCAAAAGTTCAAAGTCATGGAAAATCGCAGTCGTTTGACTATTTCATCAACAAAAGTATTGCTCAGTTAGACGAATTCAGTACCCAGTACAGCGACTGCTGACATTAAGAAGCTACTGAAGGTCCATTGCTGCTTCTACTATCGCCGGTGGAAATTTTAGGTCGAATCCTTCCTGATTTCTAGGTTGTAACATTGCCCGAGTAGCATGATGATAAAGTAGAGGCACATCTTCCACTTTCCGGTTCAGTACTTATGATACAGGATTCGGTGAACGTCTACCATAATGACACCCGGATGACACTGCCCGAGTAGCATGATGATAATGTAGAGGCACATCGTCCACTTGCCGATTGAGTACTTTTGATACAGGATTGGGTGAACGTCTACCGTCTACCAGAATGACGCATGAGATGAGAACTTTCTTCTCATGGGTTGACAACTTCTGCCATCAGTCAACCTTCTCCATCTCGTCGAGGGGCAGAACTTCCCGTATACTGCCTAACAGTTCCAACAGTGGCCGACGATCTAGCGCTTGTCAATCTTCTCATTCGGTTGGCATCGTTGAATCAAGAGGAATGAATGTTTTGTTAGACTCTCATGCGTGTTATTAGATGCTCTTTTTTATGAACAGGCCAGGCACAGTGATTATCCTCGTATATACTATGCAATACGCACCCAAATAGCTGGTTTAATCATCCGTGAGAACTTGGCAAGGTAATCAAATAATATCAAAAGTCATAACTGCAGGGTTGCCAAGCTAATGAGGTACTCCCAAGCAACCAAAAGTTCGGATAAAAGCCCTTTTTTTGTTTAATCAGCTAATCGAAAGAGAGAATTCCATTCAGCTTACTTTTTAAGTTATTAACCGAACTTCCATGTTTACATTCGATGTTTAAGCTTGTAACAGAATGCTGTTTCACTTTTGAAAAGAACTTGAAAGTTCACAAAAGGTTCGTTTAACCGTTGAAGGGAATGCTATTCAGCCCAAAAAGAAAACTTGAATGAAATCAACAAACCAAAATAGAAAACAAATATATCTATTTTTGCTGCGTACCACGTTCTCTTCTTATTTATCATGAGCTGCTGCGTCGTCGGAAGAAAAATGTTTGAAATATGGTCAAATATATAATTTAAATTACATGTTTTTAAATTTCATACCGCAAGTCTCGAACTCGAGTCCTCCTCTTTGTAACCGAGATATGTAAACGAAGTGGAATATCATATGATTTTACTCGATGTGTTGATTTCATTCATAAAAATGGTTTTCAGAGTAGCCAAATCTACTTTCAAGTTCCGTAAGAACTATTTTTGAACTTCAAAGTCTCTGATTAGTTCATGTAGAACCTTATCTGAACTTGAAAGAAAAATTTCATACGGAACTTATTGTGAACTTGCACCGTTTGACATTTGACAGCTTGTTTTGTTTTCCGCAGAAGTTTTCAGTAACGTCGAAAAGAACGAAACAATTTACACAATTTAATAGTATATTTACCTGTTTTGAGACTTGTTTTATTCAGCAAATCATCAAGGTATGGGTAGTGGAACGCAAACTTCAATGAAATTTATTAAAAATCAATATATTTTTTATTTACAGAAATGCGATTCGCCGTAGTAGAAACATTGAACGCTCGAGGCTGTAAGGAGCTTTCGGTCGTTCCAGATCAATGGCTGCAGAAATCAAAAAGTGGACACATTTTGTTCTGGCCAAACGCAAACAATGACGCAGAACCAGATAAATTGATCCGTGACGAAAAAAGCTGCTAGAAATTAACATTTCGAA